AAAATGAAGTTGGGCCCACAATGCAGTGTTCTGGCCACAGAGGATAGAAACTAACCAAAAACTTTAGGATTCACTATCCATAGACCTTTTCTAGCATACGACACTGATTATCTATCCCAAAGGCCTCCCTCCCATAATGTATTTCTCATCCTGTTTGGGGGGATGGGAGGGGGACACGGGAGTCAAGAGGTGAGAATATGCTATGCAGCTCAGAGAGAGGCTGGGAGCAGACTGGACACCCTGAGATTCTCAACACCCACATTACCTACTCCATCTCACCATACCCAGAGACATTAAAACCAACACTTCATCTAGATCTCATGTTCCAAAGACACCCCACAGCCTACACATATCCCACCACTATCTACTTTCCTTTTCATTCCAATGAAAGAACTAATTTCCAGAAAGCAAGACAACAGCCAACAGCAGAAATAAATCACAACTGGGCAGGAGATGAACATTATCCAGAGAGAAACAATTTGGCAAAAATTTCTCCCCTCCCCCGACTCTTGAAACCAATAACAATTCAATTATTTAGCCGCCACTATAAATGATGAAGCAACCACAGGGCATCCCTGGGTGGGAAGGCGGAAAGCTTTGGGAAAGGAGATGTAAACCAGCAGGGAGGACCTACTGAGAAGCATAGAAAGGGAGGTACCCCTCCCTAGAACCGGGGGAATGAGTAACAGCCATCCTCATGTCACCGGCATAACACTGTCACACAATGCTCTGACATCCGTCTCTGCATTTGTTCTTCCAAGAAAGCATGAGATGCTGATGGAGGTGATATACTCCATTCCCGTTGAGCAGATGTAGGAAGTGGCCCTCGGAAAAGCATTCCAGTGTGATGTAAGGAGCCCCCAGTCGGGCAGGAGAAGTCGGTGTGTTCATGTACTCCATGACTATTTTGAAAACCAGTTACATATGTAAGACACAAGGTTCTGGGAATACATCTTTGAGCAAAAGAAACAAAAAAATGCCCATGGAGCTTACATTTTAAGATGAAGAGAAATCTAATTTCACAAATAAACATACTACATAAGGGCATTAAAGGACTTCTTACAAAGCAAGAAGGGCTGCAGATAAACACAAGAGGCAGGTAAGAAGGGTGGGGAGGGGAAAGTTTGGGGGGAAGGACAGCAAAGGCCGGGGTGAGAGGGGAGCCTGGCAGCCAAGGCTCAAAACCAGACCCAGAGGTCAGAGTGATAAGGGGCCCGGTCAGGCTGATGTAAGGGCGGTGGTGTTCAAGTGAGTCGGGAGCCACGCGAGGGTTTAAAGCAGAGGAGGGGTGCGATCTGACAGGCTGTAGGAGGGTCCCTCGCTGTTGTTGAGAGCAGCCTATATATAGCAGGGACCGTGTCGCTAAGGGGTTCTGTTAAGACCTGGTGATGCTGACAGTGGCAAAGGTAGCTGTGGGGAGAAGTGGTTAGACCAAGCAGAGGGCAGCCGCGGTGATTCCTGCCTCCTGGTGTCCCATCAGGTAGGGCCAGCTTGCATGACTAATAGGATATTGCAGAAATGATGGTGTGTTTATCAAACTCATAGGACTGTGTACTAAAAAGCTGTATGTTACCTTATACAAATTATCCCAGTTTATCCCTCAATTAAAAAAAACAGTTCCAAGGCATCCTACAGTATGGGAGAATATATTTGTAAATGACTCATCTGATAAGGTAAGGGGTTAACCTCCAAAATATATAAAGAACTCATACACCTCCACACTCAAAAAACAAATAACCTGATTAAAAAATGGGCAGAGGACCTGAACAGACATTTCTCCAAAAAAGAAATATAAATGGCCAACAGGCACATGAAAAGATGCTCCATATCACTAATCATCAGAGAAATGCAAATCAAAACCGCAATGAGATATCACCTCACACCAGTTAGGATGGCCAACATCCAAAAGGCAAGAAATAACAAATGTTTGGCAAGGATGCAGAGAAATGGGAACCCTCCTACACTCTTGGTAAGAATGTAAATTGGTGTAACTGCTATGGAAAACACTATAGAGCTTTCTCAAAAAACTAAAAATAGAAATACCATTTGACCCAGTAATTCTACTTCTAGTAACTTACCCAAAGAAAACAAAATCCCTGATTCGAAAAGACATATACACCCTTATGTTTATCACCACACTCTTTGCAAAACCAAGATGTGGACGCAACCTGAGTGTCCATCAATAGATGACTGGATAAAAAAGATGTGGTACATATACACAATGGAATATTATTCAGCTATAAAAAGAAAAGAAATCCTGCAATTTGCAACAACATAGATGGATCTAGAGGGTATTATACTCAGAAAAGACAAATACCATATGGTTTCACTTATTTGTGGAATATAAAAAGAAAGCAAAATAGAAGGAACAAAACAGCAGTAGACTTATAGACACTGAAAAGTGACTAGTGGTTACCAAGCAGGAGGGTTTTGGATGGGTGAGTGGGGAGGGGGAGGGGGATAAAGGGGCACAATAATTCAAAATCACAATATAAGTTGGCCACGGGGGTGGTAGTGCAGCGTGGAGAATACAGTTAATGATTCTGTAACATATTTCTACATTGATAGATAGTAACCACACTAGAGGGGGTGAGGATTTGATAATGTGAGTTACTGTTGAACCACTGTGTTGTACATTTGAAACCAACATAAAATTATATATCGATATTTCGATAAAAAAAAAGTTCTGGAGCTATTTGAATATGTTTGCACACCAAGAAAAAGGATTAAGCAAAAGAGATCATTGGGAGACTGATTCTGCACTTACTAGCTGAGTGACCTTGAGCAAGTTCATCTCTGGGCCTCAGTCTCCTCATCTGTAAAGTGGGTATCATGTCCCTAGACCTATTTATGAAGATTATGAGATGATATATGTCAAGGGCTTCCAGGGTGCTAGCTTACAGCAAGTGCTCTGCAAATCTCAATCCCCTCCTGCATAAAAAGTTCCATCAGGTACCCCCAAACCTAAAGTCTGTATTCTAGTCCTAGGAAACAGCAGACAGGCCCACCGTAACTGCCTCACCAGGTAACCTCTAAGTGCCCAGCACTGTGCCAACCTCTTACCATGTACTATCTCATTCATCCTCCCTGTCATGCTTGAGGCCAGTAATTACCATCCCTGCACCAACCCCAAAGCCTCTATGCTCTCAAATTCCCATGATGTCACATCACAGTGCAGGTCTCAGCTGTCACTTCCAGTCCCCTGGAAAAGAGACTGCAAGAACTGCAGAAAACCCTGGTCTAAGATAAAGAATTCTGTCCCTTGGAGGGACACTGGAAAAAAAATCCCGCTGCTGTCCCCAGGGAGCTGAGCTGCAGCACATCGCGTGCTCACTCTGACATCCCCTTCTGGACTCATGTGTCCTGCAAAAGGCAATAGAGCATAGAGGCTGAAAGCATAGCATCTAGAACCATTCTGCCTGGGGTCAAAGCCCAGCACGACCACTTGCTAGCATTTAGGTCTCTAGGGAAGTTATGTAATCTCACGATGCCTCATTTGTTCCATCCGTAAAGTGGGGCCAACGACCACGCCTCCTTTCTGGGGCTAGCCTAAGGATGAATTCATTTGTATATGTAAAACGCTCAGACCCTCATAGCCACAACTATGTGGGTCAACTTGCCTGCTCTTCCCATAAGGAGATCCTCTTTGGAACAAAGGTCATCCAGGATGAAGGAAAGGAAGGAAGTAACAAGAAAGTGAAATCCTGTGAGGCAAGAAACACAGGTTGGATGTCTGCTATCCACAGTGCAAGGGAGATCTGCTGCCTGAACAAACCGCCATGCATGATAGCAAGAGATCCTTTTCTAAACCTGAGAGGTCCTCACCGGGGTTCTGCCCGTGTGCTACATGTCTTGTGCATGTGCCACTGGTGTTCACACAGCGACATAGTGAGATAGTCAGCAGGGGCAACGCGTTTGTGCTCCGCAAGGAAGGCAGGATGGGCTTCCAGTGAAGTCACCATTCTGTAGACTGAACACAATCGATGAGCAGCTCAACCTCACGTAATTTTGGACCTGAAAAAAGTAGCAATTCTAAAGATGTTTGTAATGGTCTGGATTGTTTCCCCATCAAATTCCTATGTTGAAGCCCGAAGTCCCAGGACTTCAGAATGTGACTGTATTTGGAGACAAGGCCTTGGAAGAGGTGATTAAGTTAGATGAGGTCTTTAGGGTGGACCCTAGTCCAATCTGACTGGTGTCCCCAGAAAAGAAGGAGATTAGGGCATGTGGAAAGACACCAGGGTGTGTGTTCATAGAAGGACAACCATGTGGCGAGACAAGCAGGGGGCCACCCGCAAGCCCGGGAGAGAGGCCTCAGAGGACATCAATCCTGCAGCACTCTGATCTTGGATTTCCAGCCTCCAGGACTGTGGGAAAATACATGTCTGTCGTCTAAGCCACTCGGTCTGTGGCATTTTGATAAGGCAGTCCAAGCACACTAGTACATTTTTTTTTTTAAGTAAACTGTTCTAAAAAGAAGTACTGCAAATGGCCTCCCTTCACCACACGCCAGCACGCCAGGCTCCCACTCCTAAAGCCTCCTCTTCTTTGTGTCACCTCTCAGCTCCTGGTCCCTCCACAGCCCAAAGCAGTGACATGAAGTACCACAGCAAGAGAAAGATCACTGGGACTCATTTTCGGCCACGTGGAGAATGGGGCTCGTGGCTTGGTGTTGGTGGTGCCTGCCTCGCAACAGACACGTTCCAATGCAAAGAGCAGGGCGGGCAACTTTGCGTCCTTTCACCTCGCACACCACAGGTAGTCAATAAGGGATGGCCTCCACCTCCAAGACTTGAGTTTCTGCCTTGACCCTACCACTTCCTCGGTGAGTGGTCCTGGGCAAGTTGAATCTCTGAACCTCAGTTTCTTGGTCAGTACAGAAGACATGGAAATACCTACCCACCAAGGTTCTGTGAAAGGTAGAAACCAATATACCCAGGGCCCATGACAGTGGCGGCACATGGAAAGTAGTCAGTGGATTAGGAAGTCCATTATTTTTTATTTTGTGTTTGTCTAACTGGGTGAAGGAATGTCCACCCTAGGACCTCTCTGTTGCTGTCTTCGATGCACAGGAGGAGATGGAGAGGAAAAGAGCTGCCAATCACAGCGTGCTTAATAGGCATTTGGTGCTGTTCCAAGTGCTGTTCACGGACATTCTTTTGGTTCTCATAATTCTCCATTTTACAGATGAGGAGACCAAGACCCAGAGAAGTGACAGACCAGCAGCTGGTAAATAATAAAATCAACTAATTAAGTGAATAAACATTACCTTTAAAATAAGACTCCTGATAAAAAGGGGCTGGAGAGTGGCCAGGAGACACACGCTCCAAATTCCTCTCCAAGTGCGACAGCCACGCACTTGAGCCTATCTGGGTGCTGACAGGTGGAGAGAGTGTTTTGCTCAGGATGTGGTAAGCACACCGCTGTTCCAGGAAATTCCCGGCGCACCTATTGAAGTGTACCCAAGAGTCCCCTTTCTTTGCGGAAAACAGTCTCAAGGTCACTGGTTATGTTCCCAGTCGGAGGCTCAGCAAGGACAGGGGACAGGGTCAAGTCTGTGCTGCTGATTCTCTAGCCCCTCAGCCCTCCCAGCACACACACAGACCTTTGCTTCACCCTCTATGCTCTGCCAGGCACCCAGGGAGTCAGCCCCTCAAGATACAGCACCAGTCTCTTGCCCTCTGGCCTCTGATTGGACTCAGCTTATGGAAGGCACTGGAGGTGGCGAGGAGGGAGGGTGGATAAGAGATCACCTCATGGTGTCTATCTCCTCCCCTTCCCTGAAAGTGACCTTCCATTGACAGTAGCTCATGCCGGGCATCTGTGTCCCAGGTGCCAGCTTCACTGGCTCCATACAGCCCAGCCCGACCCCTGCAGCCCTAAGGGCAGTAACAGCTCCCACTGATGCTGGTCCCTGAGAGCTTCAGCAGTCCCACTGAGCCTCTTAATCCTGCCTCCCACCCTGTAAACAGCCCTGCATTAAACTCTTCCTGGATGAATAGTTTGGAGTGAAATCTGTTCCCTGCTAGGACCTTACCTGAGGTGGAACTAGAAAAAAAAAGTCTTGGTTTCTATTATCTCCCCAAAACCAGTTTCAGGCCAAAGTAAAGTAGAAGTCAAAAGATCTTGCATGGCCTCAGACACTGCCTCTCTCCATCTCTCTTCACACAGGCTCGGACCAGTGTGAAGAATGGGCCAAGTCTGTTCATTGTATCCAGATGGACCTTGGTTCAAGTCCTGACTCTGTCATGGCCTGGCTCTGAGGCACTGCATATGCCACTTAACTTTCCTGAGCCTCGAGCTGCTCATCTGTGCAATGGGAGTAACACCGGCCTCATAGGATTGTTGAGTGGATGGGGTAGCAGACGGAAAGCAAATCAGAGTACGGAAGACCATAGCAGGTGATCTGTAAATCCTTGTTCTTCTTCTCATTTCTCTTTCCCGTTCCATCTCTAATTTCCCTCTTCCTCTACCTAAATACAACAATCAATACATTAGGATTGTTTCATTGTCCTCAAAGAACTTTTGAGGCTGTTACTTCATTCCTTCAGGCAAGTTGAGACTCTTAGAGGTGAAAGGATAACGTTTACAAGTGTCTCCAGCGACTGGAGCAAGAGGAGACAGCATTAGCACTTAGATTAAAAATTTGAGAAAAATCAGGGTTCCTAGAAACCAGAAACCTCAATTATCCACTATCTCAGCTGCTGATTGCTCAGAAACAAACCACTCTAAATGTAATGGCTTTAAAAAACTATGGTGTATCATCTCCGGTGTGTGGGATGGTGCTGGAGTCTTAGACATAAGGCCCTCCCAGACTGCCTCCCCCATACCTCTGGAGCTTGGCTGCACTGTCAGAAGGCTGGAACCTGTTCTTCTCATGTGTTCCATCAATCAGGAGTCCACTCGGTGCTTCTTTGCATGGAACCTGGGCCACAGCAGGGCGCTTCTAAAACTGCAGGATCTCAGACAGCATGCTGAATCATTTCCACCATGTCCTACTGGTCAAAACAATCACAGGATCAACCCAGGTTCAAGGAGAGGGGAAACAAGCCCTACCTCTCAATGGGAGGAGAGGCAAAAACACAGTACAGAGGAACACGGGAGGAATTTTTGCAGCCATCATGGAAATCCACCAATGTGTCTTCCTGCCCTCCCATAAGTATTTGGCTGTATGACGTAAAGCTGGTGTCCGAGCTCTGCATCCCTCACTATTAGCTTCAGCTCACTGGAGAGTCTACTCTTAGATGTAGGCACCTCTGAAGGTCATGAGACATTCATCACAGTGTCTTATATGGACAATGTGGCCAAGTTCCACCTACAGTCTAACCTAAATTCACCCACATCATCACACTTGGTATTTCTCCATAATTCAGTACAAGGTTAAGCTTCAAACAGGCTCTTGAGTCAGGGACCAAGACATTCCATTGCATCCAGTTCTCTTCATTTGTAGATCAGAAAACGATGGCCCAGAGAGGTCGAATGGCTTTCCTGAGGTCACACAGAGCACACAGGAAGAGGAGAGATTGAATGCAGGCCCAGATGCCTGATCTCTCTCTCTCCTCCCTTTAAGCACATGATATCCTAGAAATCACAGCTCTGACTGTTCATCCCATTAGAGGTGCCTTGGTATCTGCCATCTGGCTGATGAAGTTGGTCATCACCTCCCCCAACACTTCTCCCAGGTGTGCTGTGAGCTCTAACGAGTTAACATGTCTAAAAGCCTGCAGAACCTCCAATGAGAGATAATTACAGAGAATTACCATCCATAGCCTTCTGGGAAGAATTTTGTCAGGGGGTAGGTAAATAAATTATATCCTGTGGTTCTTTCCCCCATGGGCTGATTGACTTCTTCCAGAGAATGCTCCCCAGTGACTGAGGTGTTGGAGCCCATTTGCCAGCCCAGCCTCCCACAATCTGGGGCTCCCTTCTGTCTCCAAAGACTGCCTGGGCTGCTCCAAGTCTAGAAACCCATCTTCTCAAGATGAATCCAAGCCCCTTGTGAGAAGGTCACAGTGGGACCCCCTCCATGCTCAGCCCAGGCCCAGGTGAGCTGGGGTTACAAGTTAACCATTTCTGCAGAATTCTTGCGTAAATACCATCCAGGCTGCCCAATTTATTGCCTTTTAATTTCTCCCGTGTGGCTCCATTAGCCCTTCCTTCTGATACCCTCCACCTTTTCCATCTCACTTCTCACCCATGCTCCACAACTTTGTGTTACAAATTTTCCCATTACCTCCTGCACTGAAGTCTGGGCATAAAAAATCACTGGGCTCCCCAAACACCCCTGTTACCCCTGCATTGAAATATTTACTTAGATCCTCCTTATCTTGGCCCAAACATCTTATTGCATCTTTCATTTTCTCCCACAAGCTGCAACCTCTCCTCTCCTGCTTCCGAGAATTCAATAGAGCTGTGGCTGCTTGTTAAACTGACCTGTAGCTTGGTTGACTCATCACCTGCTTCCAAACCTCTGTCTTTTGTTACAGTTTAGCCAATGCATGCCCTGAGCTACTGCCCCTAATCTGCTCCCACGAGCACCACAGCTGGCCAAGGCGCTCCCCTGAGCAAAATCATCATGATTTGCCTTCTCTCAAGAACAATGTCCTGTTAGCCCAACATTCCATAGGCTGCTGGCTCCAATGGCTCCAATGGCTAAGACGTGAGGTCTGCAGCCGGCCTGGCAGAGTTTGAATCCTGATGCCATAACTTCCTGGCCTTGTGGTCTTGGGTAAGATACTTGACCTCTCTGTGCTTTAGTACCCTGGTCTGTAAAATGGAGAGACAACGGTACCAACTTCCTTGGTGGTGGGAGGTGGGTGAGGTTAGAATTAGCCTTGTAATACGTGTCAAGTGTTTAACCAGGCATCCATGCCCTCACCCTCCCTGGTTTGCCCCATCAACTTGCCATCCCATAAATGTTCTGTCCCTATCCATCTTTCTGTGTGCAGTTCCCTCTGTCCTGAATATCTCCCCTTCCTTCCCATAACACCTGGTGAATTTGATTCATCTATATGGCCCCAGTCAAAAGGCCTCCCTTACTGTGAAACATTCCTCAACGCCTCCAAAATTAACCAACCCCTCCTCCAAGTCTCCACAGCCAGAGCTGGCTACAGCTCTTTTCATGCCCTAACATTAGAATCTTCAAGAGTCAGCCCACTCAAGAATCTTCAAGGATCACCCACTCTAGAAGTCTTCCCTGGCTGGTGTGGTAGACACCAAGGGTCTGGCGTGTACTTGAATGAGTGAGTGATGAATGTAAACAACCCAGGCTTCTTTTGTTCTCGACCCTGGAGTCTCCTCAACCTGAATTTAATCACCTTTGTCAATAAGCTGCTGTGTACAGTTTTCGTTGTTTCATGTCTCTTTTCTCTCTTTCCGGGCCAGTCTTTTAGACCATATAAATAGTTCATTTTAGACTTACAATATCTTTAACCCAGAGAAATTATGTTTGACCCATTCATTCATTGATCCATTTAACAAAATGTTTTGAGTATCACCTAAATGCTTGGAAAGGCCCTGTTGTAGGGACTGGGGATATGATGTGGACCAAAGAAAAGATACTGACCTCCTAGGGCTTCAGGGAGGAAGACAGATAATCATGAAATGATCACGTAAAGGTACAACCCTGATAAGTGCCCTGAAGGAGAGTCATGATTCTGTCAAGTGTAATAGAGGCCTCACACCCAGCCTGAAGGGTCAGGAAAGGCTTCTCAAGAGAAGTGAGCTATGAGCTGGGATCTAAAGCACACACAGGAGTTACTCAGGTGATAAGGAGGAAAAGGCCACCCAGACAACATCCTGGGTCCTACGGCAGAGGAAGTGTGACAAAAATGAGTGATGAAAAGAAAACCTAGGGATCCTGTATCAGTCAGCTCCTGCTAGGAGACAAACCACCACCTAACCTCAGTGCCGTCAGCAAGAAGCATTTGTGTCTCATGTGTTTCCAGTGTGGCTGATCTTGGCTGGGCTCAACAAGGCTTCTCTGCTTCCAGCTGCAGCTCCAACAGGGCTTAGCCCCCAGATGCAAATTAGGGTCCACTGTTCTCCATGTGTGTTCATTCTAGGTGGGGCCCAGGCTGAAGGGGCAACAGCTATTCAAGGAAACCTCTTTGGAGAGCAGTAGCAGAGACACAAGAGGACAAGCAGAAACACGGGATGCCTCTTAAGGCCTGGGTTCAGAAATGGCCATTGTCTTTTCTGCCCACTTCTGATTGGCTGGAGCAGGTCACATGACCAAACCCAAGGGCAAAGGACAGGGAGGTTATTTTAATCTTAAGTGAGAGGAATGCTAAGACACAAGGCAAGAACCATAGACAGGGGTCTGTGAAGCTTTGGGTTCAGTAATTCAACTCCAAGACAAACTGGATCCGAGAACAGGGCAGAATTAGGTCCTGCAAGGCCTCTCAGGTCTTTTGAAAACTTTTAGTCTTTCTCTTAAGAGCAATGGGAAGCCATTGAAGATATACAGCATGATGGTGAATAATGATTTGGAGTCTAAAAATCATCATCTGGTTGCTGTTGGAGAGCAGATTGGACGCAGGCAAGAAATGATAAAAACTCCCCATGCCCTATAGCTTTTGATTCTGTATGTGTTTGAATGTGTGAGTGTGTGTGTGTGTGTTTATACCTCCACACTTACACACCCATTCCTTCCTCAGAGAATGTGGTGCCTTAGGATTTATCTTTCCACACATCTGAAGAGCAGCTTATCTGTACATCAATTGGAGCAATAACAATTCTATTGCTCCATCTCAAGCTCCCAAAGAGTCACATTTTTCCAGCATGGAGAGCAGGAAGATTTCCACATGTTTTACAAATGTCAGTTAATTTCACTCCCAAGAGGTGTTTTCCTTTCTGTCACAATTGCCATCATAACAGTAACAGCTTCCAAACATACTGTAATTTAAAGTTTGCAGAGGATATTATCCACTGGCCCCAGGAGATGGAGCCTGAGGCTTCAGGCCCTTTTGATATACACTGAGGCCTGGAGAGGTTGTCTGGCTGACTTTGTTCACCAAGTCAGGAATAGATGAGTCTGAAGCCAGTTATTTGCACTTATTTGCATTCAAAACCCATAGCTAGCTTTTCTACTATCTTGCCTGTCTGACCTGGTCATGAAATTCCAATTAGTATGTCCAGCTGATGCTCTGTTTTTCTAGAACTATTTGACCAGGTGGGATAGTGGCTACCCTAAGAAGTAGGTTCAGAAAGGAGTCTATACGCAAGCCTCAGAGCTCCTCCAAATGCCACTGAGCCTCCTTTGCCTGCAAACATTCTTGAAAGCCCCTGGCTTCCCTCAGTCAAGGGAGACATCCATCTTAGGGGTAATCAGCCAGAAAAACCTGTTTGCCAGCAAAATTTCACCATTTTTCACAAAGACACAGAAAGAGAGGGGTCGTGTGATTTGAACAGCCATCAGCCACAAGGAGCAAGGAATAGCATCGGAACCTCACTCTTCCATCACCATAAAAGCACACATCAGACTCAATGGTTCAAGTTCGCACTAGGCCACCATGTGAGAGAAACTCTGGAGAGAAAAAGGAGCAGGCGTTGTGTGTTGAACAGGAGAAACAAGTCAGGCACAGCAGGACCGCAAATTTGCAAGCTGGAGTGAAAACTCAAGCTGCTTCTCTCTTGTCAGCCCTTTTGAATGGGAGGGGAAGATTTACTGCTAGGGTCGCTGACAGCCTTTTACAGCCATTGCAAATGGATTTGAGACAGCAGAGTAGCAGGCTGAACTGACCACGGAGGGCCTGTAGAAGGCTCATTCTAAGACCCATCCACCATCGCGGGCACCATAAAGTAGCAGTCCTTGCCAGAGAAGAGCACGAAGGATTCAGCTGGAACCTTTGGGGGCCCGCGCTCTTAAACACATGGCCGAATTGCTGAGGGTTTCAAGATGTAAATGTTTTCAGTACACTTGCTCAGCCTGGCACTTTCTGTCCATTTAGCAAGATCGCTTGCAGTGTAGGCAAAAGTCTTGAGGTCCATTTGATGGGGTAGTACATTTATTATTGATAAAGGCGAAGGAAAAATGGCTTGTGTCTGGATAACACCTGGCCCGACAGACTTACTGTTTATGTAGCAGACATTTGTAATTTACCCCGTGCCGCCACGAGCTGCCATTTCCCTGCAGAGCTCCCATTTTGTCTAATTTAGTCCCTTTTTAAAAATAAGGATGATTCCTTAAATGTGGGATTAAATATGAATTATTAAAAGGCATTCCGTGTATATGAACTCAATAAAAAGTAATCCTTTATATAAAAAATATACATTCTGGCATGAATAATACATTTCAAAAAATAAAAGAAAGTGATGCATCAGTAAAAAAAAAAAATCTACGCACACACACACACACACACAAATATATGAGAGAATTACTTTTCACTCTGCCATTTTGTACCTCTTAATTTGATACCCTGTGCATTTCCTCTTCCTTCTCAAGAGGAAACAGAATCTTTTTTAACTATATGCACAGGAGGGAGAAAAGGAAAGTGATTATCATTAGAATTGTGACTAAGTTTTTCTATGGATTTCAGATTTATACCATGAACATACTTAATTTTTTTTGGTCTGAAAGAAATGTGCTCATTTGCTTCTTTATTAATGAGTAGTGCATCCATATGTTAGAAAATTCCAAATAGATTATACCTGAAAGTGGGTTACCTCTAAGCCTGGTTTCCAGATAAATATGTATAAATAATAGTTGCTTTTTGGTTTGTTTTGCTTCAGAACGTGAGCTGGGGAAATACGGCAATTAGACGTGTGTATGAAAAATAGTGTCCATATGTAAGAGGAGGCAGAGAAGAGAGAGCACATTGTACTGTGACTACCTCAAGGTGGCTCAGACTGGCAGATCTGCACGTGGAGACAGCCACTCCCTGCCCAGCTCTGCAGGTATCAACCCCCAGCGGTCTCACCTCCTGAGGGTTTGTCCCCACTGCCCATCGCTCTGGAACCAGAACAAAGGCAGCCCGAGCTGGTCCCAGTGGACTAGAGGGTGGGTGCGAGTGGGGGCTTCCCACGGAGGGAGCCCAAGACTGAGTGACCCACACTATCTTCCTTCTGTTGTTTTTCTCCCTTTCCCCTCTATAAACAAGTGATTAATGCCTTGCAAAAAGGCACAGACACACCTCCCCTGCAGCAAGCAAGCCCCTGCCAGATTCCCCAGCCTTAATTCTGCTGTTAACACTCCTTAGGTGGAGGGGTGAAGAGTCAATCCTCTCCTTCACAAAGCAGACCTGCAGGCAATGTGGTTTGTTTAAAGTCCCTGCTGAGTGAATTGACCTGCTTCCCATGTGCTCTGAGGGAGAGAGGACTTTCAAATTGAAAAAAAAAAAAGCACCCCTTTCCCCAAAGCAGTTTCTGGTTTGTAAACCTCATTGCTCAGGACCCCCAGATGCACGCAGCTTTGGCAGAATCTTCTTTTCATTCTCTCAGCATCAGTAACAGTGCAGGGATCCCATGAATGAACATTTTCAGAGTTTTACAGAGTCCATTTGGTTTGCAAGAGGCATCCTGAAGGATTTAAGAAGTGAATCCCTGTTGAAATTGCGTACAACCCTGTGTTGTGCCATGGACTGACAACTGAGTGCAGGAATAATTTCAATGCTTATTTATTTTTAAATGCTATCTCTTTTAATTTCCATTTTCATGCAGCTCCATTATATAGATGTCAATTCAGCAGAAGAGATACCTAATATACAAATGTGAAAATATAGAGATATTGGATGTCTACTTAAATCTTAGCCTTTAATGATGGGGTGTCCTCCAGAGAAATTTGGGAACATCCCACATAATGAGTGAAGAAGAAATGAAAAAGTGAAATATCACTCTTTTGCAAACCCTTAATGAAATAACAGCTCCATCCAGACAATGGTCATCAGCAGCTGCTAACAAACCAAGAAAAGAGAAAAGTGATGCTGTGCATCTTTTGATTTTAGTTCACACAGCTGTTTATAAAGCTGGTTTGCCAAAAAAAAAAAAAAAATGCCGAATCTCTTTCAAACCACTGCTTTACCGGAAATACAGGGGACAGAGCAACATAACAAATGATACCACAGGGATACAAATGGTAAGAGCCAGAATGACTCCATTACTTCAATTTAAATATTTTTCATGGAAAAAAAAAATGGGAAGGGTATCAGAGACCTGTAATCAAACACAGTGTAGAAACCTTGTCTGTACCCTGACTGAAACAAGCCAACTGTAATGAAATAAGAATGAAGACAACCAGGGAACAACACTGGCTATTCTGTAAGACGATGCAATCATTGCCTTTTGTGGGAGTGTGTGTGATAACGGCATTGTCATTGTGCTTTAAAAAAAAAAAAATGTACACTCACCTTTCGGCAATACATATGGAGTATTTACAAATGAGATGATACCGTCTGGATTTGCTTTAAAACAACCCACTGTGGGTATAAATGAAGCAAGATGGGCTTCATTGATAATTATTGAAGCATGGTGGTGGGTATATGAGAGTACATTCTACCTGTCTCTCTACATTTTATGTTGGAAATGTGTCATTAAAAAAAAAAAAAAACTTTTGGAGACCACTAGCATCGACCACAAAAATCAGCAGCACTTCACCCCTACTCTGAACCAAATGTCACCAAGAAGCAGATTAGCTGAAGAGGAATGAAGAAATCTACCTGCGCCAAACACTAGAATAAATTCTCTCTCATGAGAGTTTTTGTCTTTTCAGCAATTGTGGGGGAGATTGATATAGTCAGTCCCATTTTATAGATAAGGAAACCGAGGCCCAGAAAGCCAAAGTGACTTGCCATATGGTGCCAAGACAAGAGCAGCTGATGAGCTAAGACATCCAGCCACTATGATTTTTTCTTTGCGACTTTGGGCAATTACTTTTCCTCCCTGTGCCTCAGTTTCCCTAGCTATGAGACTGAGTTCATGATTCATAAGGATACATTTTACTTATATGTCTTCTTTGGCCCCCTACTCCATTACCTTCCCATTTCTTCCTTTCTTCTGTCTTCCTGGGAACATATCAGAGACAGGCTGGGATAAAAGAAATAGAAATTGAGTCCTGGGTTCAAATTCTAGTTCTGCCTTCTGTTATTTGAATGGCCTTGGGCAAGTCATTTAATCTCTCTGACCCTCACCCTCCCAAACAATAAAATAGGGAAGAAAATAATAACCACCTTTGAATAGCACTGAGCCAATTAAGACAATGGAGGTAGGGTGTCCAGCTCAGTCACTATAAAGCAGGTGTTCAAGTCAGGATGCGTCTCCTGCATTCACTTCTCCTCTCACACTTCCCCAGCCATCACCATGGCTTATTCTCATCTCTCCCAGGTCTTGGCTGAAACGTCACCTTCGCAGGGAAGGCTTCCCTGACCACCCTTCTTGTGACCACCCCTACTCACAGCATCCTTTCCTGATTTATTTTTTCCACATGATCATCACCATAAGAACATTTATTTTACCTGCTGATTTTGTTTCTCATCATTTTCTCCCCCACTGGAAGATCCATGGAGATAATCATTTTCATGCATTTAGATCCCTCCTATGTCCTTAGTCTGAGACACACAGTAGGCGCTTGGTAAAGGTTTGTTGAACGAATGAATGAGTTAATGAAGGATTGAATGAACGGTAGTGGTACCTGTAGATAACACAAGCAAAGAAAAACCAGGCATAGATCTTGCATGGAGCAGCTGGTCCATATATGCTTTTGTTCTCATTTTGCCAGAATCCCAGAATGCACTGAGGTTACCCCATTTCGACTTTAAGCTACACTTGATTTACCGGAGGGTATTTTGACAGTTCCCAACTTTCTTAATTCTGGCTATCCCTTAAATTGGCCTCCAAGTGCCTGTCCCAGTAGCTCAGAGTTCTTGAAGCTATTATTTCTCCAAGGACAGTGAGTGCTGCTGTCCTGAGGCCATTTGCAACTTTCCTTCCCTGAGCACAGATGTCTGAGTAAGTGCTTTGTTTAAAGGCAGAAAATGTATCAGCTCCCCACTTAATCTTTAACAAGGGATTACCCAATGCTAAGGTAGGTCTTGTCCACAAATCCTTTGGGAAGAAAGAGCTATAAAGGTGTTGTGGTGTTGGCAGAGAAACGGCATTGTCATTGTGCTTTAAAAAAAAAAAAATGTACACTCACCTTTCGGCAATACATATGGAGTATTTACAAATGAGATGATACCGTCTGGATTTGCTTTAAAACAACCCACTGTGGGTATAAATGAAGCAAGATGGGCTTCATTGATAATTATTGAAGCATGGTGGTGGGTATATGAGAGTACATTCTACCTGTCTCTCTACATTTTATGTTGGAAATGTGTCATTAAAAAAAAAAAAAAACTTTTGGAGACCACTAGCATCAACCACAAAAATCAGCAGCACTTCACCCCTACTCTGAACCAAATGTCACCAAGAAGCAGATTAGCTGAAGAGGAATGAAGAAATCTACCTGCGCCAAACACTAGAATAAATTCTCTCTCATGAGAGTTTTTGTCTTTTCAGCAATTGTGGGGGAGATTGATATAGTCAGTCCCATTTTATAGATAAGGAAACCGAGGCCCAGAAAGCCAAAGTGACTTGCCATATGGTGCCAAGACAAGAGCAGCTGATGAGCTAAGACATCCAGCCACTATGATTTTTTCTTTGCGACTTTGGGCAATTACTTTTCCTCCCTGTGCCTCAGTTTCCCTAGCTATGAGACTGAGTTCATGATTCATAAGGATACATTTTACTTATATGTCTTCTTTGGCCCCCTACTCCATTACCTTCCCATTTCTTCCTTTCTTCTGTCTTCCTGGGAACATATCAGAGACAGGCTGGGATAAAAGAAATAGAAATTGAGTCCTGGGTTCAAATTCTAGTTCTGCCTTCTGTTATTTGAATGGCCTTGGGCAAGTCATTTAATCTCTCTGACCCTCACCCTCCCAAACAATAAAATAGGGAAGAAAATAATAACCACCTTTGAATAGCACTGAGCCAATTAAGACAATGGAGGTAGGGTGTCCAGCTCAGTCACTATAAAGCAGGTGTTCAAGTCAGGATGCGTCTCCTGCATTCACTTCTCCTCTCACACTTCCCCAGCCATCACCATGGCTTATTCTCATCTCTCCCAGGTCTTGGCTGAAACGTCACCTTCGCAGGGAAGGCTTCCCTGACCACCCTTCTTGTGACCACCCCTACTCACAGCATCCTTTCCTGATTTATTTTTTCCACATGATCATCACCATAAGAACATTTATTTTACCTGCTGATTTTGTTTCTCATCATTTTCTCCCCCACTGGAAGATCCATGGAGATAATCATTTTCATGCATTTAGATCCCTCCTATGTCCTTAGTCTGAGACACACAGTAGGCGCTTGGTAAAGGTTTGTTGAACGAATGAATGAGTTAATGAAGGATTGAATGAACGGTAGTGGTACCTGTAGATAACACAAGCAAAGAAAAACCAGGCATAGATCTTGCATGGAGCAGCTGGTCCATATATGCTTTTGTTCTCATTTTGCCAGAATCCCAGAATGCACTGAGGTTACCCCATTTCGACTTTAAGCTACACTTGATTTACCGGAGGGTATTTTGACAGTTCCCAACTTTCTTAATTCTGGCTATCCCTTAAATTGGCCTCCAAGTGCCTGTCCCAGTAGCTCAGAGTTCTTGAAGCTATTATTTCTCCAAGGACAGTGAGTGCTGCTGTCCTGAGGCCATTTGCAACTTTCCTTCCCTGAGCACAGATGTCTGAGTAAGTGCTTTGTTTAAAGGCAGAAAATGTATCAGCTCCCCACTTAATCTTTAACAAGGGATTACCCAATGCTAAGGTAGGTCTTGTCCACAAATCCTTTGGGAAGAAAGAGCTATAAAGGTGTTGTGGTGTTGGCAGAGGTGGGGAGGTAGGCAAGGAGTTCTTTATCTGGGTAGGAAAACTGACGTTTTAGAGGAGTCAGAATTGCCCAGAACGGAATGTGGGTATGTTGGGGTGAAGTTACTGATGGACACTTTTAGAAGCACCTTCCTTCCCCAGGTCCCCTCTCTGAGTCAAAACCACACGCCAGACCTCTCACCCCCTAGGCCCCTTGAGAAATATCCTTGTTGTTTATAACGGTTTTCCTCTCCTCCTGGCTCAGTGTCAGCAGGTTGCACCAGCTTTCAAAGCTGCGCTTGTTTCTCATGAGAACCTGCTTCTGCCCCTGGAGAGACCAAGAGCTCAGTCCCCATTCCCTTTATACCTGAGGGGTTCTTACCCTCGTGTCTTCCAGTGGACACTTACAGGAGCACGGGAATCCCTGGATGGAATTCAGGGATCTGCGAAACTGAATGGAAACAAAAATACCACAGTTGCATTTTTTCTAAATTCACAGTGACATTAGTATTTCCTTCCATTACAAATATGTGACAACCCACAGGAGGATTTGCAGAGGCTATGGCTTGGTCACCGATAGAATCACAGGTGTTTTCTTATCACATTACAGGTGTGACTGAGACCCCAAGATGATGTTTAGCTCATTCCGACTTCAAAAGTGCAATATTAGATTGGGTTATTTGATGCACTCATAATGAGTGTAAACATTACCATAATTCCGCATTTTTCACAGTGCTTTTACTTCACAGTGGTATCCTATGTCTTTTAAAAATCAAACTCTGAGGATATCCATAGGTTTCATGAGATTGCCCAAGGAGTGTGTGGCCCAAAAGGTGGAGAATCAACTCTTCTTGGTGACGGAGAAAATGTAGCAAAGGCTTCAGCCATGATACAGACTAAAAGCGTAGCAGAGCCTAGAAACCTGAAATCTAAGCACACAATCGTTAATGCTATTACTGTTAAAAAGCTGGAGGAAAACACGCTTATATGGAACTGAATTGCAAAGAAAGGAAATCATTCCCTTTTCAATTATTCCTCAGACCTTCGGCTATGTCCCAGATTAGTGCTAACCTGTCCTGAACACCCTTCGGACAATTGCAGACCTCCATCCCCAGCCAGGGAAGAGCGGGCCTCTGGCTCAGAGCGTTGTAACCCTGCTTCATTTCCATTGCTTGTCACTTTATTTCCTTCTATGTCTGGGAAGTGAGAGAATTTGTTTATACCACCTAGATAAATTTTCATTTTCAACAAATATGTGTTTTGAAAAAGCGAGTGGATTGCCTATATGTTAAGGAAATATACTAAGATATAAAAATGTGAGTGTACTGCACCACAGTGTCCCCCCAGCCCACCTGCCCCCAGGTTTACTAGGAGACCTGAGGCCAGGTACTTGCTCAGTGCCTGCTAATTCCCAAGTAAAGTGAGGGGACTCTCCGTGTGGTTTCTCTAGTAGCTGGTGGCCTGCAATCTGCCCCCTCTCAGCCTCCTAGACCTCTTTGGGGCCGGGGGTGGAAAGCCAGGGACTCAAAGTTCCCAGCACGGGTGTCAAACATGCCTTCTGAGTGTCCTGGCTCCAGGGTCCCCCGTCCTGAAGGGCCCAGCTGAGTGGGGCTTTCATCAGCCTCTGAGAGGTGGTAACAAGTTTCAGGGCAGGATGCCTGCTGCCCACCGCCCCCACTTCTGCAGACCAGGCAGAGTGCTGGGCGGACTGGAAGCAGGATTCCAGAGGCATCTGGTTATTATCAGTCACTCAACTGTCTGGCCATTGGGGTGGGGTGAGGCCAGTGGCAGGGGGCAGAAACTGGCTGGAGGGTAGAGTTAGGAATCCCAAATGGATTCCTGGGGCCAGACCTGGCTCTTGAGGGAGGGAGGAGGGTGGTCATGATGAGCTGGCCACAGACCCTGCACCCTGCCAGCCCTTATTGGTCAGCTGCACTAAAGGGAGCTGAAAGTCGGTGATGATATTTAGTTGACAGACGAAATGGAGAGGGAGGGGTCAGTGGGCAGAGAGGAAAGGCAGCCAGACTCGTTCACTGGGCAGCACTTGAGGACAGCAGCAGGGAAGGTGGGGGTGGGCAAAACTCGCCCTCTGGTCCACTTGAAGATGCCTGCTTCAAAACTAACCCTGATGGCTTCCAGACAAGTCGGCACCAAGGGTCATTTCTGGAGGCTGTAAGTGTTGTCGAAGGCAGCTGTAGGGACAGGTGTAAATCTGTCCATGCATTCCTCCCCACTACCCCTCCCAGCTTTCTGTACCTGAAGCAGGTCCCTTTTATTACTACAAGCCCGCTCAGGAGGCCTAAACACACACACACACACACACACACACACACACACGAATGTGCATGCTCACAGTTAACATTAGGCCTGCCCTGTGGGTATTTTTTTAGTGCTCCTTTAAAGCAAACTCTCTCAGCTGTTTGTTAAAGCAAAACAAACACAGGCCTTAGTGATGGAAAGGGAAGAAAGAGAGAGAGAAGGAAAGGAGGGAAGAAGAAGGAAGGAAGGGAGGGAGGGAGGGAAGAAGGAAGGAAAGAAGGAGGGAAGGAGGGAGGGAGGAAAAGATGCTTTTACTTGTTACCCTCAAAATGTCCTTCCAAAATACTTCTCTCAGCAGACTGGGAGACAAGTAAGGGAGGAGGTGGAGTGGGAGGGAAGATGAGCGCTGGTTGATCTGAACTAGTTGGAGTGGTGAGTTGGGGAGGAGGGAGCTTCACCTTAACCAGGCTCCTCTCTGGTACCCAAACCTCCTCCCCATCTCTCCCCAGCCTGTACTGGTTGAATAAAGATCTGCTTGCCCAGGAGTACCAGGGGCTCCCCACCATCACTCTGCTGAGGGAGCATCTAGGAAACTGCAATGTCCCTTCCATCTCACAAAATGTACTCTGGAAATCTAGAGAACTCTGGGGGGATGTTTCCTCTTCCTGGTCAACTAGACCCCACCAGCCAAACCTGCCCTGGTTTGAGCACCTGTGCACTGGAGGGGAGAGGCTTCTATGCCAAGGGAAGGCAATGGGAGAAACACAGGGTCTGTTTCCACGCTGACTTGCAAGCTGTCAGCCACACACTTCCCCACCCCACCTCTAAGGCCTTGTAGGGGGCCCCTGGAAACCCCTAATGAATGATAACTTATCTCCTAAGTTGCTGGTATCAGATGCTTTATATGGTCTTGAAAACCATATTCCCTAAGGACTGAGGCTGCTTCGGGGAATTGGTCAGTTGCAGTAACTCACTTTTGATTTAATGGAGGCATTTATACTGTGCTAGATAATCTGCTATGAATGTTAAGTAATTCAGCAGGAGGGTGGGCTGGAGGTGTGGCCGGGCTGCCTCGGGCCTCACTGGGCGTCCCCTTCCCCACCGACTCTCCTGTCTCCTTGGAGCATTCCCTTGCCATGCTCCTTCCGCATTTCCCCCACTTCCGTCTGGTGCCCCTTTTCTCTGCCTCACAGCGCTTCTCTCTCTCTGTCTCTCTCTGCCTTGAGCCTGGAATTTCTTCTGGTCCTGGTTACATGCAGCCACCTCCTCAGGCACAGACCTCTCAGCCACTGGAGGCTGTACCCAGGGACCCTCCAGGCATCCCAACAATGTTCCTTCTTTCCTTCTCCACAAGTTCTCTTTCCCCAAGAGATCTGGGAAGCTTTCTTCCTCGCCTCAGGATGAAGAAGACCCTGAGCAGAGCCGGGCAGGTGGTAGAAAGGGCAGGGGAGTCTGAGTCAGGACACCTGCCCTCTGAGCCCAACTGGAACCCTAACTCCAGTGCAAGGGATGAAGGGGGCGCTTTATCTTTGCAACTGCATGCAGTTTGGGGATCCCAGGATTCAGGAAAGGGGCCTACAGGGGCACAAGCCTCGAGTGGGAAGACTGAGGAAGGCTCTCACTGCAGTATCAACTTGGGAAGAGGGCAAGAAATGGACCTGCAGGCTCAGCTGGGAACAGAACTGGGCAGGAGAGTAATACTGACAAGAGGAAGAGCTGAATATATGCTAGGTAGTCTTCTAAGAGTGTATATATACTCTTAGGTATAGTCTAAATATATATGGGATATACCTTTAGTAAAATATATAGTATATGTGAAGTATATATTAAGAATATGTACTTTTAATTAATGTATTAAGAGAATATTTTATATATACACACAGACATCCATAAAGAAATGGACACAGAGAGTTAAGAGTGCCGAAACAGCTAACAGTTAATGAGTACTTCTGACGTGCCAGGAGTTGGGCTGAGCGATGTACACACTTGATCTCATTTAGTCCTTGCCATGGTCCCCTGTAGCAAGACCTGTTATTCCCATTTTCCAGAGTGGGCAAAGGAGGCGCTAATGGGTTCTTACAAATTTCCAAGGCCATCCATTAATGCTCAGCAGGAGGTGTGCCAAGCCCGCAGGAATGCATGGTCAGAGTCTGCAAAGGTACCAAGGCCAGCAGCAATCACAATGGAGCAGGTAGCCCCATAAGGAACCAGCCTGCCCTACGCCCCCACGTGCACCCGCTGGCTAGAATCTGGCTTGTCCTGGCCTACGTGCAACAAGCTGCCAACTACATTCCACCAGGCTGTGGGGCACACTTCCGGGAGACTGGCGACAAGGAGGTTGGTGGGCTCCATTCCCAAATCGGGAAACAGGTCGGCAGCAGCATTTCATCCTCACCTCTGCACCTGGCATCCGCTGAGAGGGGGAGAGGGGAAGGCAGCTGTGGTTCCAGTCTGCATGCCCCTCCACACACAGGGACCGCGCCCTGCCACCAACCGATCATTAGCCATTCCTTCTCCCCCAACCATTTCGTGGGTCGCTACTCTGACCAAAAAGAGTGGGGAAACTGAGGCCCAAAGCGGTTGGCTCCAAGCACGCTCAGGAAGCTCGCCAAGGTCTTGCAAGTGTGCCAGCAGGAATGTGGTGAGCGGAAACCACGGTCCTGTGCCTCCTGCAAGAGGCGGGAAGCGAAGCCAAGCACGGCGCAGGCACCTCTCGGCCTTGAGCGAAGCCAAAATCGGTGAAGTTGGCAAAGGAAGAAAGAAAAAACACGATCCCAGGCTGCTCTTTGGAATGCACGCGTTCACCGAATTGTCTGCTGGAGTCTATACTAGGACTGCGTGCATGCGGCTTGGGGAGAGGCTGAGCGGTCAACAGAGCAGAGGGGGCATGGAATCGAATGAGGTTTGCTTCTGCACCTCAGATCTTGGCAGTTGGTGACACATGGACATCTACCCAGCCCCAAACTCCAAGATGTGGGCAGCTTCCTGCATAATTGGAGGAGGGGTAGATTCTGACCTCAACTTTTAAGTCCAGACTCCATGTGCACTAGGGGAGAGAGAGAAGACAGTTCAGAAGGAGACCAAAGCAGAGACAGAGCTTCAAAGATGGAAAACTGGTAGTGAAAAGAGTTGAAGAGATTCGGCCTAGCGTCAAGCTGGAGGTGACAAGGCAATGTCAGCAATGCTCATCTTGTCCATAAACATC